CACTGTGACCATTGGTCAGAATGCTTTATTTTGTGGATGATTAACTTGCTCAAATTTCAAATCAGAAGGAAAGTTTTGTACTCAGATTTTGTTCAGATTTTGAAGATAAAAAGAGTAATCCAAAATTCTTTATGATGATATTTTAATTTATTACTCCTTATGAAGAATAGAATAAGCTTATTTATGAAGTGTACTTGTACGTCATAAAGAGTGGATATAATTTGTCAATGAACTACCTACAATCTATCCAAATACAATTTCCATGGTAACACATTTTAAATATTAAAGGAAGGTTTTCACGAATAATCCTAATTAATCCGAGAATTTATTCATATGTATGGTCTACACAGTTGGTCCGGACAAGAGGGTCCGGATATTGTAGGTTTCATGAGTGACTGCGGAAGAGAATATAGTGATGCAGTCATTCGAGACTCCATGATTCCAAGCAGCATTTACAGAAGTGGTAAATTCGGATTTTTATTCAAATTCATTAATATATTTTAATGCGCTAGGATGACCTTAATGCATGCTTATAACTTCGTAAAAAGTTAGCAGTTTGGAAAACAATGATCGTTTAATTTGTAACAAATGCCACAGACAGCAAAATAATTTACATGATATTTAGTCCTTACAGATATTAGACATTGACGTACGCAGGAATAACAATTTTTTTAAAAAAAAAAATTAGCCCCATTGTGTGATACAATAATTGTTTAAATATGTTATAAGTGCTTTAGTCATGTGACGTAATGTGTCCAAATTATTTTGATGTAGAAGGATAATTTCTATTGATCAAAAACATCCTATTTATTTGGGTAAAATATAGGAACTGAGCTTCATTTGCTATGTTGCCTGCACATTATTTGATATCTCCTATATGTATAAATAAGACTATTTTCTATTTGGTAGTACTTGTAGTATGTGTTATTTTGTAACTTTGTTGGAGTGTCTAATATTTTCCACAGTTCGATAACTGTAAATGTAATTTGATGATAATTTTGTATCATGACATAAAGTTGTACCATGACATCAATTTCAAAATTATGAAAAACATTTAATTAAATTACATTAGCTAATATTCATAAATTATATTTCTTATTTGCAATATTAATAAATTGTATTTCATTCAAGTGAACTTATCCTAACTTCTTATATCTCTGGTAATTTATCTTTTTCCAGATTAGACCCAATGGTAACACTTTGGTCTGACCATGGTACCAACACCGACATTCATCTTCGAGGATCTTAGCTATGCACCAAGGGCAGATTCTAATCTAAGACTTTACAAGTTTCTATTGACTTTGATCTATATCAGTCTTCTCGAAATAAAACCTTAACGTGTTTGATTTGGATACCATCTTTTTAAAGGGCAAGAACTAGCTAATTCTAAGATAAAAAGCATCAACTTCATACTCGGTACGGAGACCTACGCTATCACCGCAATAAAAAAGTGATTTCTAATAAAAAAAAAAACTCCATTATCTGGATTAAAATAAATGACGAATTTGTTATGAACCCAAAATTTAATCATATTGCTGAAAAGACATTTTACAATTTTAAGTAACATAATGAATTTTTTTTAAAGTATGGGTTAAAATAATAATAATAATAATAATAATAATAATAATAATAATAATAATAATAATAATAATAATAATAATAATAATAAAATCAAACAATAACATTGGAAAAAATGTTTCTGTTAATTATGAATAAAACTATTTTTGTTCATTAACATCTATAAAACCATGGTTAGATCAAACTCGTTTGGTCGCAATTCAAAATACACCCCATCTTCAGTTTCAAGACAGCGCCTGATTCATCTGCAGTTCCAAGACAGTGATTGGCCCTTCTACAGTTCCAAGACAGTGTTTGGCCCAATTGCCATTCCAAGACCGTACCTGGTCCATATGCTGTTCCAAGACGTTGCCTGGTCCATTACAGTTCCAGACAGTGACTGGCCCATATGCAGTTCCAATACAGTGCCTGACATAAATGAACACAATCACTAGACAGAAGTGAATCTATTTTCATAAATAAAATAATGTACCCGGCAAAATATTAAATACCGATATGTACCAGCATATTACTAAATACCGATATGTACCAGAAAATCACTAAATACCGATATGTACCACCAGTCATAAATACCGATATATACCAGAAAAGCACTAAAAACCGATATGTACCAATAGAACACTAAATACCGACATTTGCAAAAAAGCACTAAGTATGGATATGTACCAGCAAAGCACTAAATACCGATTTGTACCAGCACATTACTAAATATCGATTTTTACCAGAACAGCACTAAATATCGATATGAACCAGAAAAGCACTAAAAACCGATAGGTACAAATATAACACTAAATACCGACATGTACAAAAAAGCACTAAATATGGATATGTACCACAGCAAAACACTAAATACCGATATGTACCAGCACAGTCTTAAATACCGATATGTTCCAGGATTGCACTAAATACCAATAAATACCGACATGTGCAAAAAAGCACTAAGTATGGATATGTACCAGCAAAGCACTAAATACCGATATGTACCAGCAAAGCACTAAATACCGATTTGTACCAGCACATTACTAAATATCGATTTTTACCAGAACAGCACTAAATATCGATATGAACCAGAAAAGCACTAAAAACCGATAGGTACAAATATAACACTAAATACCGACATGTACAAAAAAGCACTAAATATGGATATGTACCACAGCAAAACACTAAATACCGATATGTACCAGCACAGTCCTAAATACCGATATGTTCCAGGACTGCACTAAATACCAATAAATACCGACATGTGCAAAAAAGCACTAAGTATAGATATGTACCAGCAAAGCACTAAATACCGATATGTACCAGCAAAGCACTAAATACCGATTTGTACCAGCACATTACTAAATATCGATTTTTACCAGAACAGCACTAAATATCGATATGAACAAAAAAAGCACTAAAAACCGATAGGTACCAATAGAACACTAAATACAGACATGTATAAAAAAGCACAAAATATGGATATGTACCAGCAAAGCACTAAATACCGATATGTACCAGCACAGTTTTAAATACCGATATGTACCATATGTACCAGGACAGTCCTACATACCGATATATACCAGCAAAGCACTACATACTGACATGTACCAGCACAACACTAAATACCTATATGTACCAGCACATTACTAAACATCGATTTTTACCAGTACAGAACTAATACCGATATGAACCAGAAAAGCACTAAATATCGATATGTACCAAAAGAGCACTAAATACCTATATAAACTAGGACAGCACTAAATACCGATAAGTACCAGATTAGTGCCAAATACTAATATATACCAGCACAGTACTAAATACCGATATATGCTAGAACAGTATAAAATACCGATATGCACCAAAAAACACTAGATGTCGATATGTACTAGGACAGCACTAAGGTGCGCTCACCAGTTATTATGTACTTTTGAGAGAGTGACGTATGTAAGGTGAAGTTGTTTGCATTTGAAACATGTGGAGAGAATGTTGCGATACCTCTATGCTACTTTGATGGAATGTGGCTGACATTTATTTGGATAATGTACTTATAGAAATTGTACATGATCTGAGCACAATGGTCACTAAACCGGCTGCTCACTTATGCTAATAGAATCAGCCGGAATTAGCCTAAAAGAGCACTATATTTAGCACCTATTCAAATGGGAAAATGAATTTTGCCCATCTAGACAATACCAGTTTCTGAATGTGGAATGGATAAATTACTGCTTATATAACATGCAAAAAAAGCTATCGTTTTTTTTTTTACAATTTACTTCTGAAGTCCAAGAAGTGGAAATGATCAAGCGGAGCTAAAAGTTTTTGAAAGATGCACATCTGGAGTAAGGCCAAGCTGTATATTCTATAATCCATAATATAGCCATCAATCATATACAAAAAAGGGAATTAAAGGTTCTTTGAACAATTTTTAAGATGTACAAAATCTTTTTTAAATGGCCAGTATATCCAGTAATGATGCCTGGAAAAATTCTTTCTGTATAAAATTCTAACTCTATGCAAAATACGAAACTGAAGAGCGCCACCTAAATACCGATATGTACAAGAACAGCACCAGCTAGTGCATATCAGTATTTAGTACTTTTCTGGTAAATGTCGGTATTTAGTGTTCTTTTGGTACATATCGGTATTTAGTGCTTTTCTGGTACATGTCGGTATTTAGTGTTCTTTTGGTACATATCGGTATTTAGTGCTTTTCTGGTACATGTCGGTATTTAGTGTTCTTTTGGTACATATCGGTATTTAGTGCTTTTCTGGTACATGTCGGTATGTAGTGTTCTTTTGGTACATATCGGTATTTAGTGCTTTACTGGTACATGTCGGTATTTAGTGTTCTTTTGGTACATATCGGTATTTAGTGCTTTTCTGGTACATGTCGGTATTTAGTGCTTTTCTGTTACATGTCGGTATTTAGTGTTTTTTGGTACATATCGGTATTTAGTTCTTTTCTGGTACATGTCGGTATTTAGTGTTTTTTTGGTACATATCGGTATTTAGTTCTTTTCTGGTACATGTCGGTATTTAGTGGGTTTTCTTGTACATATCGGTATTTAGTTCTTTTCTGGTACATGTCAGTATTTTGCAATGTGCTGATATCATGGAAATACTTAATGTTAAAATTATAGCTAACATCCCAATCGAGATTATATTAGGTTTTCAAAACGTTGTTACTTGTAATTCGTGTGTGTGTGTGTGTGTGTGTGTGTGTGTGTGTGTGTGATTGGGACTTTTAACGTAGTTTAAACAATTCAGTCATATCGCTACGATGTCTGCAGTGTGACAGTTTATTATGATATCTAGCTCTGAGGCATCATGCCGCAGACATGAAACATGATGTTCCACCCAGTTACATTATCCTGACACCAGGTATACCAGTTCTAAGACTTAATGCAGAGGCAAGAGCAAAGCAGCTGTTAGTTCCATTTTCGTAAGTCTAGGGTTCGAACCTGAGACCTACCGATTCCGAGGCGGACGCTCTAACCACTTAGGCAACCGAAACGGTCTTTAATTCGTGAGAGGGTATAGCAAAACGTTCACATTAGATTTGAAATGCATTAAATTTGTTGAATTATTTATAATTTATTAAAAACTTTAATGAGCAGAGGTTTCAAATTATTCAAAGAAATTCAAATTGATACTTTCAAATGGTTATTTAAATTTTTAAAAATACTTGAATATTCATATAGAGCCTAGAATGTTCAAAATTGTCAGGGTTAAAAAGGGACTAAAATTGGTAAATTCTATATCCTAGTAACTGATTTGTTTTTAATCAATGATTCCGGCAGAGTAATTATATACTTATCATTGCTCTCCGCAGCAGATTGTTTGGTATGTTTGCACTTTCACTAAATGGCAGCGTTTGCTTTTTCAGCCTATACGTAAATATTGTCATGGACACATATTTATAAACAGATCATTGGCAAATTTAAAATGTCAGCTGCGTCAGTTAAGTGCTTTAAACAAGAACACATGTTGAGACAATGTGTGGCCTTCCTTGAGTTTATCTCAATTCTGTTTCGACATGTAGACTATTTTAACTGCCAACCTCCACCCACGTTAACGCAGTGAGAAATCGACTCCGAAGATTTATGTAATAAGAAACACCTGTAGTTTGGACTGGATCCTTAATCCAGAGTGATTTTTCAAAGCAATGCCTATGTGTGATATTGGTTGCTATGGTGTTTCTTGCCTCACAGATTGCTAACAGGAGACCTCATCCCCCTCCCTCCAGTAAAATTGTTTTAAACATGAGATAGATAAGTTTACGCACTCCTGTGACGTCATTCGCTTAACATCCTCAATATGCATATTGTAATGCTCAAATCGCGAAAAGACATTTCATATTCTGTATTTTTGGATGAAAAAGTAAACTAATTTCTTCCCCACGGGTATGAGTGAGTAGGGTTAGCTAGTCTAGCCTTCGTCTCTGATAATTCGTTTAAAACATTGTTGGATATGTACGTATAAAATTGTAAGCAGAAGATGACATGTTATAGGTATGGTATCGAGAGTAGCTTTGAGTTGTCAAAACGTGGTGTTTCGAGGCTTTATTTTTCAAGATAGACATCAGCCAAATGAACTGCAGCGAAAATCAGCGACCAATCTAAGCCGTTATAATAATACCATAGATATTCGCGTAAAATTCAGTTTCAACTGCAAAGAGCATAGATCCTAAACTGCCGTCTTATAATGCGCCAGTAGATGAGAGTAAACAAGTTCATTCTACTTATTGGTCCTTACCAACTGCATAGGTCTAGACCTGCCGGCGCATTATATGCTGTTTGCAGTTTGACATGATATTTATGCGAATATATACTACATGTCCATCTGATGAAAATCAGATCTCGGCTATCATAAGTGAAGATCTGACGACGACCGCTTAAGGACATTGTTCTGGTGAACTAAATAAGCCAATGGAAATGCAGCTTTCAAAAAATCTGAAAGCAAATCAGATCATTCGGTAATCATTAATGCTCTTAAGGACACACGGTACTAATTGTATTGAAAAATGGGAACCAGTCTAGAAATGGGTGAACATTAAATAGAGTATATGCGGGTTTGGCTGAAAAAGACTCTTTTGAGACCTTATCCTAGCTGAAATAAATAAAATTAGACATTTTTTTAATGGAATTTCAGTTCTTTGATAGTCCTGACTCTTTGGTGCGGAATTGAAAGCACATGTTTCAGACATGTTTCAAATGCATGCAGGTCCAGAAAATGCCGCAGTTCATATCCTTTCCTCCGCACAGAAACCGACTTCCATGTTTAATCTATACTGATAAATATAGATTTGGTCATGAACACTCAAAAAGTTTAAGTTATTGAATTTTTATTATCACAGTGTTTGCATAACTTTACTATGGGAACTAAATTAGTACTATGATTCCTTCATCTACACTGCTCAGTCTCCAAACGCAACGATATAAGACTCTATCTGATTGGTTGATAAATTCAGTGATTAAGATAATAACTTTGGTTATGACCCCTACGCTGTCGCTGTCAGATTGTCAGGTATAGGTGGCACTCACCAGTTATAATGTACTTTTGGGAAAGTGATGTATGTAAGGTGAAGTTGTTTGCATTTTAAACATGCACAGTGGAGAGAATGTTGGCATACATATATGTTACTTTTATGTAACGTGGCTGAAATTTCTTTGGATATTGTACTTTTGGAAATTTTAAATGATCTTAGCACACTGCTAACTAAAATGACTGCTCCTTTGTGCCCCTAAAATCAACCTGAATTTGTCTAAAGTACACTATTCTTGGCAGCTATTAAAATATGGAAAATGAATTTTGCCAAACTAGACAATACTAGCTTCAAAAAATCCAATGAATGAGTTACCAAATACATAAAATGTAAAAAAGTTATCGGCTCCTTCTTTTACAATTTACCTCTGAAGTTCGAAAAGTGAAAATGAGCAAGTAGAGCTAACACATTTTTGAGAGGTGCACATCTAGAGTAAGGCCAAGCTATATACTCTCTAACCCATATTACACCCATCAATCATACACCAAAATAAATAGAATTAAAGATTCTTTGAACAATACCTAAGATATATAAAGTGTTTTTTAAATAGCCAGTATAACTAGTGAGGAAACCCGGGGAAATTCGTTTTCTTTAAAATTAACATCCTATGCTAAATACAAAACTGTAGAGCGCCACCATAACTGCGGTGCTATGATTTTAATAAAATTGCTTGTATGTTATCTCGTATCAGATTGGTTGTATGTTATCTCGTATCAGATTGGTTGTATGTTATCTCGTATCAGATTGGGGTATGTCATCTCGTATCAGATTGGGTGTACGTTATCTCGTATCAAATTGGGTGTATGTAAATTCGTATCTCCGTATCTATATAGCCTCAGTTCTAACAGCATTATTTCCTTAGTACAGGAAGCCGGATTATGCAGTAGTCTTTAATAAAAAGGGAAGAAAACTAACTTCGATGATTAAATGTGCACTATGTAAACTGTAACCATCGTATCGCAAGGCACGCTCGTTCAAGATGACCTTAATATCACAAGAGCTAATGACATTGTTACCAAATGAAATAACATTTATTTATTTAAATTTCAGTTAAGACATAAGTCGCTTAACAAATTACAAAGCAATTGATAATAAAATGTCTATCACATTGGCATGATAAAAAGACCAAAGCTCATGACTACAAAATGCTTCGCTGACAAGTTGAATAATCTTGATGTAAGTATATTCCACGCAATATTGTCTTCAATACGACAAGTCATCAAATAAGACAAGTCATCGATTAGGACAAATCATCAGTGAGTCATCAAGTAGGACAAGTCATCAAAATAACAAGTTCCAATAACTTTCCTGTTCGATGTGAACACTCATTCAGCTTAACCCACGTGTCTGTAACATAATCCAAAATTGTACCATATTGTACCATTGTAACATATCGTTATATGAACCGTTTCTAGTAGGTGAACTCGTTCGGTTGGATCGGGCCTTATTTAAAGTCTTTTTGGAAATTTTAAACTCTATAATCTTCTTTATTTCATTTGATATAAAGTGTAGATAATTTGAGAAATAAATATTTGGGCACTTTTCTTGACAAATTGTTTTCGGGGGAGGGGGTGAGATTGCGATAGGAAACAATATCACCCCTAAAGGGTTTATCCCATCGATGATAAAAATAAAATTATGCTATCACCCCTAAAGGGTTTATCCCATCGATGATAAAAATAAAATTATGCTATCACCCCTAAAGGGTTTATCCCATCGATGATAAAAATAAAATTATGCTATCACCCCTAAAGGGTTTATCCCATCGATGATAAAAATAAAATTATGCTCATATAGGCAATTCTGTATGCAACTGTTGTTTCCTGTGTACATTGATGCTTGATTTCCTACCCACTTTTTTCTACAGTAACTCACAAAAAATGACATTTATATTAATTTAAACTTCCAGTGTAAAGAAAAAATGTTCTAAACAATTGGCATTTTGCAACTGTCAGTTTCAAGTTTCGATGATTAAATTCTTATTATGTGTAAAACAAATGTTTCATTTTTCTTTTGCTTACAAGCTAAAGTCTGCAATATTTCAATGTAAGTGAATTTACCATGGATACAGGTCAAAATGTGGTAATTATGTCTGTGAAAATCTAGTACTCTTTAACTTCATAAACTATTGCATTCCATTCGAAAATCTTATAATGGAACCACGTTCCTGGTACAAAGGTGGAATTACAGTTCAAGGATTAGTCTTCATTACAGCAACATTTTTGTCGCACTAAATTAAATCAGATTTCTCCTGGCATGTTGACTCAAAAAGAAGGAATGATTATGTGAATCACGTAGATACATAAATATAATAGAGCATACTGCATTCATAATTTTAATAGAACATACTGAATAATATTTCATCGCACATTTGTTTCACATCTATGCAGGGTTTGAAGAATAGTTTTGATAGCATGCAAAGTAAATATGTTTACCCGTCACAGATAAATTAGAAAAATGTGTAAAGCAGTCAAGGCATTGCTTGTGATGTCAAAGTGTAAGCATGCCTCATTTATACTGCCTAAACTCTGAAGCAAGATTTTTTAAGCACAAGTGCCATTCGAAGAAAGACATGGGTGGGACTCATTACAATAAGTAAATTGCCACATTTCTGACATGAATAATATGTGATATAAAATTACCAACACTTTCATGCCAGATCTGTAAATTCAGAACTTTAGAAATCTAGCGCAAAGACAAAATCATACATTTCTGCTATATTATAAATCTATACCACTAAATGGATTTTGAATATTGCCATGTTTTTTTCCACTGTATATAAAGTACACGCGAAACGTCTTCATTTACTCGCAATGAAGCTTTCCCTTAAGTAGTCATGTAGTGAATTGAAACATTGCTGATATCTGTGTCGACGTTTAATTAAGGGCCGCGGACGTTATATTTGTGGAATCAAAGATATCAAAATACAAATATGTCTGGTTCCTTTTGCAAAAGTGTATATTTGCGATG